TAATAATAATAATAATAATAATAATAATAATAATAATAATAATAATAATAATAATAATAATAATAATAATAATAATAATAATAATAATAATAATAATAATAATAATAATAATAATAATAATAATAATAATAGTATAGGTGTTATATGATAGTAATAATAGTTTGACGGTAATAATAGTGATAGTAAAAGCAAAAGCAATGAGAGCAGTAAGATTGTCGCCATTGACACCTAGCCCAACCGGTTTTTCGTAAGATTTTCCAAACATCATTCTGGGAAAAAGGAAGGAAAATGTTGCGGACAGAAGAATATGTCACAACTATTGCAGCAAACGACAGTCAGCAACAGTCAGCAACACATGCTGCTGTAGCGGTTGTAGTAGTAATGATTGCAGTTTGAGGCAAAAAAAAAATTAGCAAAAATGTGTTAAGGCTAATGATGCAACTGGTACTAATATAAAATCCACATATGTCATAACCGGAGATTATCTTCTTTTTAACCGGAATTTGTCACTTTCCAAATCGGAATTTGCCATTTATGTAGGTATGATTATTTACAACGTATCTTCTCAAGCTGATAATACGGAACTACTGATAATTGTTCTTGGATATGTTTAGATGTATGAAAATTTTTCTATTCCTCCCATTCTATCAATGATATGATAATGTGGTATGATAATCTTATCATGTTTCAAAATAGATTAACAAGAAATGATTTAACTTTCAAATCATAACGTACTAAATCTTGAAAGTCTATATTGCAATTTCAACATAATAACAGATTGACAATGAAATGATTGCACAACATTTCACTTCTATGCTTTAATTGTTTAATTATTAGCTTAACTTCAGTAACAAAATATTCAATCTTAAATTAAATTTAGTTTCCATTTTAGGATTTTTTCGTTTGGTATTTATTTTCCTGAAAAGCTATAATATTTTTTTTCTTTTTTTTTTTTGCTCAAGTTGAATAACCAAACAATCAAATAAGTAATTTTATGTTTTCTTTTTCGTTACACCGATATTTTTCCCGGGATTTTATTTTCTCTCACATCTCTCGTCGATCTTTCTTTCATTGTCTACATGTTATAGGAAAATTTTGAAAATAGAATCTATTAAGAAAGAGATTTTATTCGTATTCTTATATTTTTATCTTGTCGAAATCAATTAACATTGACAAGTTAATGCATGGAAATTTTTTTTATTTGAATTCATTTTAGGCAATTTCTTCGTGATTTATCTATTATCATAAAAATATGTATGTTTGTAGTAAATTGAATTTAAATTTTTATTTATTTTATAATAAGTATTTTTCTATATTTATTTATTTTATAACAAACTAAATTTGAATTTTTATTTATTTTATAATAGGTGTTTTTCTATATTTATTCATTTTGCAACAAATTAAACTTGAATTTTTATTCGAATGATTAAATACACTGATATTACATACACATAGTTCAAAATACTGTCATTTCATAATTAAATTTAAATTTTAATTCAAATAATGAAATATATACTGGGAACAAATAAATGAATAAATAAACAAATTAAATAAATAAACATGGAAATGAATAAGCAAATAAATAAATAAAAAATAATTACGTATATATATATATATATATATATATATATGTTTATTCATGCATATAGTTCGAAATACTATCATTTTGTGATTTTATTCAACTAATTAAGTATACTGAGAATTAATTAATTAATTACGCATATATTTTAATACATGTGTGGTTTACTGTTTCCCACAACTAAATCCAAATTCTTAATCGAATAATTAAATGTAATGAGAATATACATATAAACACATATTGTTTAAAATACTGATATTCAGGCTTAAAATTTTTTTTTTTGTAGATTTAAATTTTCATTTAAATAACTAAAATATATCAAAATTGGAATGGAAATTGTATATATATGCATACGTTTTAAATATTTATATTTCATATAAGTTTGAAAATTGCTTAAATAATCAGGTTTATCGATCACTATATATTAGTTTTCATTACCAATTAATGAATGAAATGCAATAATAAGCCAATATATTGTCCTAGATATTGTTGACAACTTGTTTTCTATCTTTTCTTTTTTTTCTTCATCTTTTATTTGCATATTTTATTCGTTGTTTTAATTTTTCCCTTTCAAATATTATTTTAAAAATTAAACAAAACAAAAAAAAAAGGCAAATTCATTGCCAGAAAATCGTATTTGGTATATCGGCAAATTATTCAATGTTATACTTTAAAACATTTTGCTGCAAGAGAAATCTCGGGAAATCTTTCTCAAATTCCTCAATTTTCATGATGAAACAAACCTATGAATATTAAAACTGATAATGATAATTCATAATGATAAATATTGCAGGAAAATGCTAATTAAATTTTAATCAAAATTTCAGCCAACTTGAAATTCTGCACGGAATATTACTTTGACAGTAAAAAGTTTGCAAATCAATTTTCTTGAATAATTACATAGCTATTGTTGATTGAATGAGTTTAAACAACGATTAACAACCTTTAAAGGTTAAGCTATACAACACTGAAATGGGTGTTAGGGAAAAAAAAAAGGTCAAAGATCGATGGAAGAATGAATCAGATATATGTAGAAATCATTGATCAATCAATCAGTGATCAATCAGAATATCTCCATTTTTCATCTGTAACTTATCTTCTCCTGAATATACATTACTTGATATGTTTTGAATTCGATCAATTCGATCAATCCGATCAATTCGATCATTGAATCAATAAGAGATAACTTTTTATTTGAGAATACTGAATAAATCTAAATTCCATTATTGAAATGTAATGCTTGTCTCATCTATTTTGTAATGATTCAGGTGAGCCGAAAGTTTTCTGTGGATGGAAGCATTTTGGCCGAGCAAATTATTAAGCATATCGAATGAAAGTAGACAAGATGGGGTAGGAGGAAGAATGTACACATACACATACATGACAAGATAAAAGCATCAATAAGGAGGACAGAGAAGAGAGGAAGGAGGAAAAGAGGTGGACAGAGGGAGGAATGAGGGCTTTAGTGGGGTGTACTTGATGTTGGATGGAAAGGGGGGGCAAATTAATGTACCCTATCCTTAATGTTTGCTCATTGCCAAAGAGGAGAGAAGTATTTTGGTGCCGCGGGAGGGTTACAGGCTACATTCTTACACAGACACACACACACACATATATATATATACACATACACACACATACACACATACATACTAGCAGAAGAACAAATGACCGGTGTGCAGAAATGAAGCACAGATTGGTCCGATTGATCTGTGGCCTCAATCGATACGATTCGAACTAGGCCAAACATTGTCGGTCGATTCTGTTCTGTATGTTTAGTCTGTGTCCGTCTAACTCGTTGTATGTCTGCTTATCCTAATGTGTTTTCTTTCTTGTATCTATTCATCATCGGTATGTGCAAACTGTACAGGACGGGCTGTTATGCTTCCTCCTCAGGCTCATATATATATGTGTGTGTGTGTGTGTGTGTGTGTGTGTGTGTGTGTCTTTCTGTTTGCCTGTATGTGAGCTTATTTGCTGACAAGGCCAAATGGTGCACATACACCCACATACACTCACATACACACACACAGTTTCTCTTCCTTTCCACATTTTGCAGGGTAGGGTGGGATGATGTTAGGACCACGTTGGGCTAAAGAGGCATTGGTAACAGTTTAGGTCGTTGGTAACCGGTTAGTTGTGAGCGTGGCGGCGTGAAATGTTTCAGGCTGTTTTCCCTTCTGTTTACCTTACCATCCTTTCACGTCTATGTACGTATCGTTCTGTATGCGTACGTGTCTTCTTACATATGTACATATCTTACCGTGTATGCATACTGTATGAAAATGCACTATAGTAATCTACGTATTGTAATGAAAATGCACGTATGCTAATCCATACATGCATTCATGCATATATCTATGTGTGTGTATGTGTATCTGTGTGTGTTCGTATTTGTATGCGTACGTATGGGCGTTCGTAATTGGGCTTACATGTAGGCATGCATGTGATCTGTGATACGTTTACGTATATTTATTCATGCGTTGCGTACGTATATGAAAATGCGTGTTTATATATGGTAATGTATGTGTACAGGTATCTTTATGTTTCGTACGTATCTTTATATTCATGTCTTTATATCTAGACGCATGTATATGTGGTGACGTCGACACTCGTAAAATATTTCTTTCGAAATTGTCATCTCATCAGGACAGAAGATGATGAATGACACGACAGTAAACATGGCAGAGATTGGTGGGTCGTATAGGAATGGGTAAAGTATTCGTGCAATTATAAAAACTTGCAAGCATTTCGGCAGGACATCTTATATCGGAAAGTGTAGATGATGATGTAATATTAAGAAGGTAAACATGGAAGGTAGCAGACGAAATAGGATCATCGTTAGTACATCAGAGGACGTAAGCCTAAACTTTGCAAGTACCATCAGCGCGTATCTCTTCTGACCTTTATGATCGATCATCATATGAATGCAACGGAAACGAAGAAACTCTTTTCGAATGCATTTTAACCTTTGAATAGTTAGCTCGTTGCATTCCTTCTGCATTCGGCACATATCTCTACTTTATTAACCCTTATGATTTGGTAATGATAAATCCGGAGCGGATCTAGCATATGTGCTATATATGATGAAATATGGCATACAATAATGGATTATCACCAATAAATATATGATATTCCTTTCCTGCGTTAGGATTTCAATATTATATATCTTACTTGAACTGAATCCATTTGCGCATGTCATTTTTGGCATTCCTTCAGAATGTGCTTTGTCTCTTTGTCACAAATATTCCCCCTTCTAGCTTCTATTGTTTCTACTGTTATTTTTTTGCAAAAATGAGGATGAATGACCTTTTTGAACTTTTGTTGATAATAGTGTAATGGCCAGTTATATTGGTGACATTTAATGGTAATAGTATTAATATGTACAAAATCCAGTTGTAACCTTTAAAGGAAAGGGCCTATGTCCTGTTCCTTACACTCATCCTATCCCATTCCAGCATCCGATAATACCAGTCAGTAATCATTCATTTTAGTGCAAAGCAAAAGGTATAGGCATAGGCATCTTTTATTCATCCATCCATCCATCTTTACCATACCATACCATACCTCTTCTCCCGTCCTCCTATTAGTGATGTATCCTCAGCCCTGTTTGGTCTCCTTTTGCTCTGATTTCCGTACCAAAACTTCCATTGTGCCGGCGCCCCACTCGACTCAACTCGACTCGACTCGTTTTTCCTTACGATCAACGTTAGTTGCTGTTGTCCCCATTACGAAAATTATGACTGGTTTGGTGCGGGTGATGCTGCTACTGCTACTACTACTACTACTACTACTACTACCTCTGATGATGATGATAATGGTGGTGGTGGTGGTAATGGTAGTGATGATGATAGTGATGGTGGTATTGGTGGTACTACCTATTACTACTACCACTATTACTGCTATAAATGTTGTTATGCTGTTTCTTGCTCAAGTATTCCAGATTTTAGGAATGAGAAAAGAAAATCGGCTTAGGGAAAAATCCTGCAACAAGTAACAATGGGAAGTTTATTTTCAAGACAGAGGCATTTAAAACCGTTAGAAATTTTTGAACTGAATCGGGAAGAAGATTGTGGGATAGATCTGTAATTTGTGTATATGTATATATTTTAGTCTGTTATCACTTAGATATGTTTAATTATGTTTTCGCAGCATATTTCACATTAGCATATTGTTCCGTATAAGAAGCATCAACTAGATAGAAATTCAAATCTAGGATAAGTTTGAAATCTTTTTGAATGGGAAGTTTCTATTTTGGAAATTTTAAAGCGGAAAAAAAAGACATTAAAATAGAAATGCAAATGCAATTTGTAAATATTCCATTACAATTGTTTATTGGTAGAAATATCTCAACCAATAAACAGTGATTAAATATCACATTTATTTGCCAAGTTTAGTAATACTTTTTTGATTATTTTACGTAATTAATTAAATTGAATGTGATGATTTACTGAAGTGATGTATAATTGAAGAGCATAAAGGAATGAATGATTTTAGATATGAATGGAAGAAGTGTATAATTTCATCAATTTACAAGAGACTTGTTTACTTCTTCTCTCTCTCTTTCTTCTTTCCTCATGTTTTATATCAAATCTTAAAGCAACAATAACAATAACAACAACAATAATAATAATAATAATAACAACAACAACAATAACAATAATAATAATAATAATAATAATAATAATAATAACAACAATGATAATAATAATAATAATAATAATAATAATAATAATAATAATAATAATAATGATAATAATAATAATAATAATAATAATAATAATAACAGCAACAACAACAAGAAATAAGACAGTTTTTTTCTTTATTTTTCGTTCATTATTGCTAAAAGTAGAAGGGAATGTCATTTTTCCTCAAAATTTTTGGGAATTTTTTATAAAAATTTCATTTTTAAAGAGGATTTAATTTGTTGAAATTTTTATGCACACAAAAAACCAAAAATACTTTTTTTCATTTTTTTTCTTACATCGTTCATTTTGGTTTGGTCAAATTTTTATCTTTTTTTAAAAATATTTTAACTTTTTCCGCATAATTTCTTCATTGAATAAATTTCTTTCTTTTTTTTTTTTTTTAAATCATTTTATCTCTTTTCCACCAAAATTTTCTCTCTTCTCACCTTCTGAAGTATGCGAATTTTGATCTCTTAGGAAAATTGTGGAATTTTGCTTACCTTTGTACTTTTTTTTTTTTTTTTTTACACAGATTATATAAAATATGCGAAGTGTTAATGGATTGACAGCCACACTGATAGCAGCGGTAAATTAGCAATAATACAATGCTTTCTTCTGCATAAATGATCTTTGTTATCAAATCAAATTAAATTTCTCATATGTTGAATGCCCTCAGGGATCTTGTCTTCATTTCTTATCTCATCCGCAACCAATTGAAGTAAGATATGCCCGTAATGAACTCTTCCTTTTGTTTGTTGAAAAACGGGTAAATGATAATAGAGATGATAGTAATAATAATAATAATAATAATAATGACGATGATGATGTGATAGAGATGTTCATAAGAATGAATGTTAATGCCAAAGTTTGGAGTTGTGATATATGCAATAGATGGTTGATAATAATAATAATGGTATACAAGTTGGTATAAAAGTTGCTAATCAAAACTTTTGAGGAATTAAAAGTGGAGAGGAAAGGGGGGGGAAAAAGAAGAGGAAGAGGGAATGACAAAAAGAAAAAGAAGACAAGATTTCGTGAAAATCTGGTTTTGGCGACTTAAATGAGACCAACGAAGGCATGGCAATACCAACATTACCGATTGTGTCCCCATTTTGAAGTTTGAAGATGGAAGGCTATTGACAGTTATTTTATTTGAGCGTACATTCAGCCATAAAAGATCGTTGGAACGGAAAGTTTATAATGGTATTATTGTTCATGATAGTATACTTTAGAGAGGAAGAGAGGAATGAAGAAAGAGAGAGAGAGAGAGAGAGAAGAAAAAAAAGAATTATACCCATTTCTTTGGTGTCATTGGTTTACTTTTTTTTTTGGTTCTATAATTATATGAGCTTAATCTCTTCCTAAAGTATCATTAAAACAATTCTCATCATTATTCTATAATATATGTATATTGCATTTCGTTCATTATACCTAGCAAAGTACTCATTTGGAACTTTTTTGTAAAGTAATTCAGGGAGAGAGAGAGAGAGAGAGGGAGAGAGGGAAAACTATACATGAACATCTCGATATCCGTATGACAAAGCTATGTTAAGTAACTAAACATTTTGAATAGCATCGGAAGAAAATGAAAAAATAAAAAAGAAAGAAAGTCTAATAAAGGACTGATATTTCATTTGGAAATTATGTACATTTTTAAAACATAAAATTAAAAAGAAACATTTTGTTCATAAAGGAATTTTTTTTTCTTAGTAATACTTGAGATTTCAGCAAAAATATTTTAAGTGTCTTTTTTTTTTCTTTTAAAAAAGCTTTATATTAAGCATTTCCGTTAAATTCTCCTTTTTTTTTTCATTTTCTACCATAAGGCATATATGCTTATGTTTTGGGGCACGTAATTTTGTCCATTGCCAGCTCAAACATCATTCACATCGAACTTTTTCATTTTATACGGCAACCGGTATTTTCGGGTATAACACCCCGAGACTACCTTTTTGCTATCCAATTCACCCTCTCCCTATCTTTTCCACCCCTCGCTCGTCCTCTTCTTTACCCAATTCATCTTTCTTACCAAACACAACGATGATCATCATTATCAGCAACATATATACCCTAATACACCATCTCTTTCATCTTAACAATTTCTATCATCATCATCATTATCATTATCATTATCACTATCATCATCATGAAAATATATATTCTGAAATTGTAACCTACTAGTTTGAGCTAGCCATACAAATCAAAAATTTCTCAATGATCGGTTTAGGAATACGTGAATTAGTAGTATACTTCTTAAGCCGCCCACCTATGAGCATTCCTCTTTTACCCTTACTCTACTATCCCTCCGTGATTTCTCCCCCTCTCTCTATCTTTTCCCCTTTCTTTCTGTCCCATTCCTCCTCCGCCATGCCTACTCTCGCATCTTTTACCTTTTGTGTTATCTTCATTCCTTGCTGGTAATTTTGAGCAACAATTAAGGACAAGTGTGTGATGTATGTATGTTTGCCATATCCCTTTTGCTGCTGTTTTCACGGAGCCAATTAATTATCATTAGGCTAGTGAACCCGTTATCTCTTCGGTCGTACTTGTATCCATTATCATTTTATCATTTACCTTATTTACCAGGTTCTTGCCATTGTACTACCATTTCCAATAGTTGTAGTTTACAGTCACTAACTAACACTATCACTACTACTACCATTACTACTACTACCGTATCTGCGAATTCAGATAATGTCTGAAAAAGACGCAAATTCTTTTTTCTCTGTAAAAAGCAACTTTCTGCAACTTACTTAGCTTAACTCATCCATTTTATATCAGGATTTTTACACTACAACCAAAGTTACTATTATCATATTTACTACCATTCCCGTAATTAATCTCTTCTAAGCTCATTTATCCTAACTTTCAAAAGGAACTTCGTCCATTTACTCGTTCATTTATTTATTTATTCTTCTTTATCAGTCTTATGCAAATAGATAATGTTTAATAACATATAGCTACTTATGTTGAATCATCTGGAAAAATTCTTCAACTCTTTTCCATGTCATAATGAAATCCTTATTGATTAGTAAAGATTTTTTAGTAAGAAAAAATATATAAGGTTAGACAGATCTTGCTTACTTACAGTTTGATTTCGAAATAGTTTTTTGAAATATGCGAAAATATGCATTTTCTTTCCTCACTTATTTCTTTCTGTTTTTTAAATGTCTTCACGTTTTTTTATTTTCTTTTTATTTTGAATACCAAACGATTTCAGCGTATATTTCGAACTTTTTAGACGATAGTACTATTATTTCTGGAAATAAAAGGATTTATAACTATTGCAAACCTGAAATGAATCCATACTGAAAAATAAATCCATATTGGATTTCGTTGTACATTTTGTATGTAATTTACATGGCATTTTGACGCAATTTTATAGTTTTGAAGAAAAGAAACTGTAGTTTTCCGATGGAAATTACCGATCTTGAGCTGTTCTGAAATGGTTAAACTGTTACATTTCAGGAGATAGTAACCACGGCGGACCAAAAGCCTCCTTCGATGGTTTTCACGGCTGCTGAGCTTCCGAAGTTCACTACGCATCCGGCAACATTCATTCCAACAGTATTTGGTGGACATGTACTGGTATACGAAAGCCGTTCACATCCCGGACATCGACGTGAATTCGCTTTCAAAACTCGATTTACTAATCAATCGGGTGTCAGCTCATGCTATTATCGGTGTATGTCATGTCGTAGTATGAAAAATAAGGTACCACCAGGACCAGATGGGAAACCACCACAAATTCCGTGTATTGCTGTGAAAAATGGATTCATCGTGAATGATCCTGATTTTCCGGAAGCAAACGATCATTTCTGTGTCCCACCGACGCTTGATGAATCTCGGCAACGTGAAGCGAATGGTTTTGCGAAAGCGATCGTTAAAGGACGTCCACGACAAAAGGCAACTCGAAAGAATAATACCGGTGGTATCGGTAACGGTAGTAATCTCAAGAAGGATTCGGTAATAGCGGCACAATTACAGGCGTATCAAGAAATGAGTAATGCGTTGCTAAATGGTTCCGCGGGAAATATTTTTGACATCTCCACTATTGCTGGTGGTTTCGATCTTAACTCCGACTTTTCGGCATCTTCTGCTTCTCAGCTGTTAAGTTTGGTTACCGGTGGAGTAAAGGGTGAACTAGATTCAGCGGGTGATAGCAGTGATTTCTTGAAAAATATCAAAATTGAAGATGATGATAGTGATGGTACGGCAAAAGCGACTCATCTGCTTGCATCGCTAATTAGCTCAGAACCAGCTTTGCGAACACAGATGATGCTACCG